GCATGTGTGGGAGACCCTGGACTTTCCTTCCTTTCCTTATCTGCCAAGTTAGGACAACAGCCCAGCCATGCCCTAGGAAGGCAAATGAATGGACATGGACAGAGGGCTTTGGGAAGGACAATTCCTTGTTTGTAAAATAAGGCTATTGCTGTGGGGGTGTCTGAGAAGAGGGCAGAGGGGACTGTCCTGATGGCCCCTCCCCCCAGCAGAGCTGGGCAGCAGGGACCTGTCCCCGTCACACCAGAAGGGGTGGATGGGAGTCAGAAGTGCCACTCCAGGCTGGGGGTAGAGGTCCTGTGGGGCTTGCTGCTACCAGAATGGCCACACCCCCACCCCTTTGGTCCCAGGGAGTCACATGGCCTGACTCTGTCAAGAGGCCTGGGCTGCCAGATGTCCTTGCTGATTCTTACCTGGTGGCAGCCAAAAGCCTTTCTCCTCCATTCCAGGGACAGCCCGTGGGTGATGCCCCACAAATAAGCACACATAGCGAGGTGTATAAATTCATCCTACAGGACACAAAGTGAACACCCTGCCAAAGCAGTCCCCAGACCGAGACACAGATCATCACTAGCACTGATGCAAACGCAGAAACAAAACCAAAAATCAACTCAGACACGTGACACGTGTCCCCACACTTTAAAACAGCAGCCACGGGACTTCCCTGATGGTCCAGCAACTGATTCTGTGCTCCCAATGCAGGGGACTTGGGTTCAATCCCTGGTCTTGGGGAACTGGACCTTGCATGCTGCAACTGAAGATAACACATACCACAACTAAGACCCAGTGCAGCCAAATACATACATAAATACATACATGAATATTAAAACAAACAAAACCCAGCAGCCACTTACATTATCACAGCGTCCTCCCATCCTCGGTGAGATGGCGGCTGACCCAGGAGGGCCCACAGCAAGTCCTCTGCAGCAGACTGACTCTGGTCTGAGGGGCCCACCTGGATCAGTGCAGACACTGGCCTTCTTCTCTTCTTAGATGGGGTCCCTGGGCCTTGCCTGGCTCTCCCCCTACACTCCCCAGCCTTCTCCCTGCAGGGGCAGCTATTTCAAAAAGCAGGTGGACCCTTATGTACCTTGTGCTGGATGGGCTTAGAGTTGAGTGGTGGATGAGCCCTGGTCCAGGTCCATTGTGCTCCCAGCTTTTCCCAGTGCCCTGCCAGCGCCCACTCAGCAACCCTCATTACCTGCCATGAGGGGAGCTCTTTCCAGCCCTAGACCAGCTCACAGGCTTGGCCCTTGAAAAGAAAAGGGCCATGGGACACCACAGGATGAGTGAGGGTCTCGGGCACAGCAGCAGGCTTGGGCACCCTCCCTGGGTGGGCTCCAGGCATCCACTGAGTAGAGACCCTCAACAGCACTGACATCCTCAGAATAAGCGCCCGACCCACCTGTTTAGCCCTCCTATGCCTGTCTGCCTTTACTGTGCTGGCCACAGCCAGGGAGCTTCGGGTCACACTTCCCCACCTGCCCCTTTACTTTCCCTACACCGAGGTGCCTGCTCCTCCCAATCCCCCTGTTTAACCTCTGAAGGCCTCTCCCTCCTCTTCCACCAGTAATACGCCCAGCTGACTGGCTCCAGCAGACTGCTACATTTTCAGGAATTTGCAAGCTGATGGTTAAACACAGTCATCATTAAAATGTAAATTATACAAACTCACAATTATAGAAATTATACTAAGAACAAAGGTAATAGGTAGTCAGAACTCACCACTTTCTAATTATTTCTACTACACTTTACTATTGTCTATGCTTTTTAGGTTATTCATATCTATTGTGTCTGTGAGGTGGGAAAACCCCATCATTGTGTGATCCTGCACATCTCTTCCCAACTCCACTGCAAGCGGGTACAGCACTTCTTCCCCCACACCCCACCCCCATCCCCACCACTGCTGCAGTCTTGGGGTATGTGATGCAGGGCGGGGAAAATCAGATGTACACATTTGAGGGTGCCCCTTCATCCCGCACCTCTGGACCAGGTAGCTAGGCAACCAGAGGTTCCTTCCCTGAGAGTTTTAGGCAAGGCAGGCCTTCATTTTCTAGTCCCCAACTGCCAGATACCTCCGGAACTCTAGGGAGGGAGTGCTGTGTGTTCGGTTGCTTCAGTGGTGCGGGACTCTCTGCGACCCCATGGACTATAGCCTTCCAGGCTCCTCTGCCCATGGAATTTTCCAGGCAAGAATACTGGAGTGAGGTGCCATTTCTTACTCCAGGGGATCTTCCCCAACCAGGGATCAAACCCACGTCTCTAGTGTCTCTTGTGTCTCTTGCATTGGTAGGCAAATTATTTACCCCTAGCACCAGTGGGAAGCCCTTAGGGAGGCAGAGGAGACCAAACAAACTACCAGAACTGAATCCCACTCCCCCCCCTCCAGAGTCTTGAAGTCCAGTTTAAAAGATTTTAAGAAGACAGAGAGCTGCCATAGTGCGCCCTGCCCCCTATCTCCCAATAGAGCCCCCGTGTCTGCTGCAGTTGTCCCCAATATTGCCTTCTGGCAGACAGGGTGCTCCACAGAGGCCGCCCTCCAACCACAGGTTCTGGGCCCTTGACCACAGTCTGCTCCCCTGGGGGTTCCATACTTCCCTCCTAGAGATGGGGGGAGGAGGGGGGAGGGGAGGTCTGACTCTCAGGGCCCAGGTGCCTGGGTGCCAATCACTGAGCTCTCTGGAAGTAAAAGCCCAGGTCCCTGCCATGATCAGGCAAGTCCCTGCCCCTCCTGGGGCTCAGGAGGCAAGGCCATGCCCAGGGTTCCCGCTCAGTCCACACCGCCTGCCAGGCCCAGCTGGGCTCCTCTCCCGCGCCCACGCGATCTCTGGGCACGCGCTCTCTCTGCACCCGGATAGCTCCCCCCCGCCCCCCACAGGCCCCGCGGGAAACCGCCTCTGATCAAATGAAGCCCTGTGCCAGGAAAGTGACCCTATCCGGTCGCAGGATGGGAGTGGGGGCAGAAGTCGTCGCGCCCCTCGCGCGGGTATTTCCTCTGGAGTCGCCTGCTGGCCTGAGGCGCAGACACGCGTGGGACAGTCATGGCCAGCCCCTCCCGAGCCCCAGGGCCGGGCCATGAACTTCAGCGGGTCCCGGTGCTCGGTGGTGGGAGAGCGCGGCCCCCGGGGGCTGAAACCCCCGCACAGCCCCGGGACAGAGTCGCGCGGATCCTAGACCTTCCGCCTGCGGGCCGCGGGGTCCCTCTGGCGCCGAGAAGCTGAGGCCAACGGACGAGCAAGGGCCGCGCCGGCTCGCAGCCCTGGGCTAGCTGAGGGTTCACGGATGAAGCAATGAAAGAACTGTGACCTCGGGTAGCCCTGGGGATGGGAGGAGGCTGAGAAGAGGAAGATGTGTTTTATCAAACAGGTCTCAATAGAGCTGGCTTCATTTCCCACCCGCGGGCAGAAGCCAGCCCCGGACAGGGACCCGGGAGCTTCCCAGCTGTTGGGCCATCGCGGCGCCCAGATGAAGGGAATGAAGGGCTCGGGGTGTGGGGCGGGGGTGTCCGCCGGGCTGCCCCAATTGGGACTGTCTCTTTGACTCGACCTGTCGCCTGCAGTCGGATCCCGGAATCTTGGCGCCTCCTCTGTACAGGGGGAGTTTGGAGGGGCGGCTTCCGAGGCGCCTTTGGCTCTGACCGGCAGGGGCTCAGGTCCTAGTCGAGAGCCGGGAACCGGGCACCGGAAACCGGACGGGAAACTGGGAGTCAAGCCCGCAGCACCGCTGCCCAGAAAAAATGGCTCAAGTGTGTGGGTGGGTGAGTGGGGTGACTATGAGTAACGTAGCATAGTGTGGAGCTCCTCAGGGGTGACGCCCCCCCCCGAAGTCCGGGACCCCTCGCCACCCGCGGAGAAGAGGGCAGAGCTGGAGTGCACTGGATCCAGAAAGCCCAACACACGGGCGGACACACGCAGACATGGACACACTGATGCATTCCAATTAGCACACGGACACGCACACGTGTCCTCATATCTCCGCTGTGGGAAGGCGCTCGGAGAGCGCTGAAGGGTCCGCTTGCAGGGCCCCCTCGGAAGTGCGGCGCCTCCCCCCGGGGCTGCAGGGAGCGTCCAGCCCTGGTGGAGCCGTCTGCCCGGAATCGGACCCACTCGGCTGGCAGGAAAGGCTTAATCCTCTAGGGACGCCTCCGAGAAGTGCCCGCCTGCCCCACCAGCACGATGTGGCGGCTGTCATTCCCGGGAGATGTTGCCAGTCTCCAAAGCCCGGAGCCGGGGTGGTGGGGGCGCAGAAGAGCCAAGAGCGAGGTCATAGGGAAGCCCCGAGACCCGGGTTGTATAGCATCTTTACAATCCTATACGGACATTGAAGAAACTTGGAGCGACCCCACGACCCCGCTTTGGAACGGGGGAGGTAGCGAGGCTCTGTTCCCGGCGCCCCCCACCCGGCACACAGGTGTGGACGACTTGAGTCCTTGGAGACCCGGTCGAGGCCCGGCGAGTGTTCAGCCCAGCGGGGTGAACCGAATTCTGTCCCTCGGGTCCGCCGTGACCTCCCGTGTGCCTCAAGTCCCGTCGGAGATCTGGAGCAGCACGCAGGTGGCCCATCCAGAAGTCCGGGGCCGCGGCCCGGCCCACCCTACTCTCCACACCCGGCTCCCTCGGCTCTCGGCGCCTTCGGGGAAGCGGCGCAGGCTGGGACAGGGGCGGGCGGGCAAAGGATGGTGCAAAAGATGCGGCGGGGCTGGGGCTTGGGGAGTAGTCTCCCCCACTGCGCGCCCCTGAGACCCCAGCCGCGCAGCGGGCCCGGGCCGCAGAAAATTAAACCGGGATTCCTCCCCCGCTGACGTCGCCAGCGCCGAGGCCCCTCCCGCGGTGGCATAAAAGGCGCGGGCTCCGCAGCGCAGGCGGCAGTGGGGGCCGGACAGCGCGGCGGTGCGGACTGCGCGGCGGAGCAGCCAGCAGCGCGGCGCCCAGAGCGCGGGCCGCCCGCGGAGCCCCAGCCGAGCCGAGCCGGGCCCGGAGCGCCGGGTCCCAGCGCCCGCAGCCATGCCGGCTGGCCGCGCCGCGCGCACCTGTGCGCTGCTAGCCCTCTGCTTCTTGGGCAGCGGGGCCCAGGATTTCGGGCCGACGCGCTTCATCTGCACCTCGGTGCCCGTGGACGCCGACATGTGCGCCGCGTCCGTGGCCGCCGGCGGCGCCGAGGAGCTCCGGAGCAATGTGCTGCAGCTCCGAGAGACCGTGTTGCAGCAGAAGGAGACCATCCTGAGCCAAAAGGAGACCATCCGCGAGCTGACCACCAAGCTGGGTCGCTGCGAGAGCCAGAGCACCCTGGACGCGAGCGCGGGCGAGGCGCGGACGGGCGGCGGCCGCAAGCAGCTCGGCTCGGGCAAGAACACCATGGGCGACCTGTCTCGGACGCCGGCTGCTGAGACTCTCAGCCAACTCGGGCAAACTTTGCAGTCGCTCAAAACCCGCCTGGAGAACCTTGAGGTCCGCGCGCGCCGCTGTTTCCCCTCTGGCTCACGCGCCCCTCTGCCCTCCCCCACCTCCATTCCCGACCCTACCTGACACCCCCAACCCGGGTAACGGCCGGGTGTGGATGCCTGGCTGAGGCCTCCCCAAGCCTGCGGGCCCCGCGAACGGGCACTAGCCCGAGCTCCCTGCCAGGCTGCCCCCGCAGTCGCCCTGAGGGGACAGCGCCACCGGCCTCCCGGCACGGTCCCTACTCCACGCGTAACGATATGGTTTCCCCCCCCGCCCTTGCACCCCCGCAGCAGTACAGCCGGCTCAATTCCTCCAGCCAGACCAACAGTCTCAAGGATCTGCTGCAGAGCAAGATCGATGACCTGGAGAGGCAGGTGCTGTCTCGGGTGAACACTCTGGAGGAGGGCAAAGGGGGCCCCAAAAACGACACCGAGGAAAGAGTCAAGATCGAAAGCGCCCTGACTTCCCTGCACCAGCGGATCAGCGAGCTCGAGAAAGGTAGTGGTCGTTGGGGGGGGGGGGGGGCTGCTGTCCTTGCATCCTGTCTCAGCTCCCTGGACCAGTGGGACCCGGCCTCTGGCCCTGGCTTCCTGCATAGCTCAGGTCGGGAGTGTAAAAGCCCTGACTCCTCCACCATCTCTACCTCAGGTTCTCCAGCTGATGTTCCTGGCAGGGCTGGGGTGCCCTGGGCTTGGGACATCTGGGGAAACAGAGTGAGAAAAGGTTCCCTCCCTGCTCCCCCGCCACACACACACTAACAGGAATTTTTCCAAGTCTGATCTGTTTAATCTTCAGCAACTTTGCACTAGAGCCATGGCTAGACCAAGTCCTCCCTGGCTAAGAAAGCCTGGCTCTAGCCAGTCCCTATCCCCAGCAGAGAGCAGGGCACGGGCTGCGGCTGGGTCCTTCTGGTCCATGGCAAATCTGGGCCCAGAGCAGGCTCCCTCCCAGTTCCTTGGTGCCCCTGACGTCCTTTAGGGATTTCCAGGTCCCCCCCTCCCCAGCCCTGAGCACACGCCTATGGTTTTCTCTTATGAATGACCCAAGCTGAGGCATCTTGCATGCTGCCCTGCTGTTTCAAGTCGCCAACCCCAAGTCCCAGTCTCGCCCTGGGCGCACGGATGAGCTAGAGAGGCTCAGTCTTGAAGTCGCAGAAATCAAACAAGGTTGTAAAAGGGGAGGCGGGGGATTCGAGGCTGGGAGCAGGGCCACGTGACACTTCTCGGACTGCAAAGTGTGCTGGATGGATTTAAACAGTGCCATCTTAAGGCACGTTATGTAACTGAAAAACAGATCGGGGAAGGGAGGAGGGAGAAAGAAGGGGGAGATTGGGGAAATGAAGAGCACCCCCTGGAGAGAGACTAGATCTGCTCCAAGGGCAAGGGGCTGCCAGCCTGAGACAGAAGGGGAACATGGCCAGCCCTGCTCTGTTCCCTGACATCTGGCTTAGAGGAAGGGGGTGGGGTAGCTGGCCCAGTAGGATGCCTTCTAGAAATAATTCTTGGCCTAGAGGGCCGGTTTAGTGCTAGGCTCCCTGGCAGCACCCCGTGGATACCCTGGAGCTGATGGGTGTGTGTGCCTGGCTCTGGGCCGGGTGCCCATGCCCCTTGCTGGGTTGGAATGTTTTGACTGGAATCAGACGCACCATGCCCCAGGCATAGCCACAGTGTGTGTGTGATTTGGGAGAGGGCAGACAGGCATTCCCTGGAGATGCTGCCGATGGACGGGGAGCTGGTGGCTGGGTATAAACGGGGGCGATGGGGCCCGGAGTGTGATTTTTCAGGGAACACACTGGGAGCTCGCCCTGAGAATGATTGGCATTGTACTCAAAGCAGTCACCTTAGGGGAACCTGGCTCTAGGGCCACCTTCGGGCTCCCTGCTGTCCTGCCCTCTCTGCAGGGGCAGACAGAGCTGCTTGAAGAGACTCGGAGGGGACAGCTCTCCTTCCTGTGGGGTGCATGGGATTCTGGAAACAGCCTGAGTCCTCAGGATGAATTGGCTGGGTCAGATGAGTAACCAGGGGCTGCAGCGTGTCCTGGCCTTGAGGCAAGTGTGATGGGCCCCAGGGGCCTGTTCTGAGCAGCAGCCAGCATCGTGGAATCAGGTTGGGCTCCCAGAGGGGCTACTCTGAGGGGAGCTGGCCTCTTTCCTGGTGAGGAGACCCCCTTCCTCTGCAGCTGCCCCTCTGATCAAGCATCGCTTTACAGGGTGTGCCCTGACCCACTCCCTTCCCATGCTCGCTGCCCAGCTCAGGTGCAGATACTCAGAGCCCATTGTATATGGGCTCCCCCATCCCAGCCTGTCCACTGGGGCCACCATGTGGGAGCCAGACCTGGAGTGCAGAGACTGTGGGCCAGTTCTTTCGTTCTGGCTCTTTGCCCTGGGGCAAAGTACTTGACCTCTCTGAGCTTCGTTTTCAGCATTTACAGAACAGAGAGGAGTCTGCTTTGTCTGCATCACAGAGCCTGGTTGGGGGCAGGGGGGTTGGCAAGCCTGCTTCAGTCCGGTACAGGCACTTTGTCAAGGTGCAGGTGTCGGTACTGTGTCCCGTCCTCTCCAGGTCAGAAGGACAACCGCCCTGGAGATAAGTTCCAGCTCACATTCCCACTGCGGACCAACTACATGTATGCCAAGGTGAAGAAGAGCCTGCCGGAGATGTACGCCTTCACGGTGTGCATGTGGCTCAAGTCTAGCGCGGCGCCGGGGGTGGGCACACCCTTCTCCTATGCTGTGCCCGGCCAGGCCAATGAGCTGGTCCTCATTGAGTGGGGCAACAACCCCATGGAGATCCTCATCAACGACAAGGTAGAGCCCCCACCCTTCCTTCTGGATTTGCAGGGCAGCAGGGTGAGGCCTCCGGGGCCCCAGTCCATGCCAGTGGCTGGGGCAGGTCTGGGTGGTATGAGATACACAGCCTCGGGTGTTACTGTGGCCCCGAGAGGAGAGCCCCCCCCAGGCAGGGCTGAGGGAGGGGCAGGGGGAGGACTGGGAGAAAAGGGGAGGGGTACCCTTGCTATTCTCCGTGAATACGGGGAAGCTGGAACCCTCCCAGACAGAGGCCTCATGGGTGAGGGTGGAGGAGGAGGATCCAGAGGCCAATCCATCCATCTGCTCAAACCCTGACTTCCTCCCCCAGCTGGCCTTGGAGCTGACTTTTCTCCCCCATATTTGGGAGACCATAGATGCTGGGGGTGGTGGTAAGGATGCTCCCAGAGAGTCCAAATCGATCCTGCTTAGTCCCCTGCCCCTGGGAGGAGGCCAGGTCTGCATGAGCCCTTGGTAGAGGGCACCCTTTCCCTCCAGGGAACCCATCTCCATCTTGGCCCCCCGCTAGCTGTGGGGTTAGCTGTCAGCTCTCCAACTCCCTCATCACCACGCCAGCTTTGGTAGTTAATGTCTAAAACCTGGACTGAGAATTGGAGTCCAAGCCTTTGCTCTTGATGCCTTGCCCAGAGAGGGCTGTGCCCTTCTGGGGCCCCATGTCCCCAAGTTAAAAGGATGTGAGGGTTCTTTTGTCAGCTGAAGCAGCCTCCCCGCCTGAAATGTTAGAGTGGGAGTGAAATTCCAGGTCAGGGGCTGCTCTGAGCACTAAAAGGCATGGTGCCATCTCCCCTGGCATCTTTCAGAGTCTCTGTAAAAAGGCTGGGCGGGTTTTAGACCCAGAGGATCTGGTAATTAGAGATGGAGCGTTGGAAGAGAGGAGAGGCCCAGAAAGCAGCAGTGAAGTCAGGCCCCAGGGGTGGCTCATCAGAGGGCAGGTTTTGTGGACTGGCCCGGAGGGAGGAGGGTGAGTAGGAGTGAGGAGATTGCATATTCAGATCGATCTGGACAAACCGTCCCATTTCCTTTGTGATTCTGTGCTCCATCAATGGATGGGCCTGACAGTCCCAAGGGGCAGGTGTTGCAAGAACTCAGTAACGGGTTTTGATGTTTACTGTAAATACCTATGACTAGTAACTAGTTGAATTAGTAACTAGTGAAGATCATTGATCCTGATGGTGCCCATTCCCATCATGTCCTGTATGTTGTTCTCCTGCCCAGGTGGCTAAGCTGCCCTTTGTAATCAATGACGGCAAGTGGCACCACATCTGTATCACCTGGACCACCCGGGACGGGGTCTGGGAAGCCTACCAGGATGGCACCCAGGGCGGCAACGGCGAGAACCTGGCACCTTATCACCCCATCAAGCCACAAGGCGTGCTGGTGCTGGGCCAGGAGCAGGTACAGGCTTTGGGTTAAGGGGGGTGGTGGTGGTGCTGGCTGCAGGGGGGAGGAGCCCCAGAACCTGAGACTAGGCCAGAGAAAGGAGAGTGAGGGTGTTGGGAGGGAGGGGAGAGAGGAGAGAGGCAGCAGGAAGCGAAGTGGGAGGGAGCTGGAGAGGGAAGTGGTTCCCCCTGAGAAGTAGCCGTGGAAGCAAGTGATGCAGCAGTTTGGGCAAAGTCCCTGCTCTGAGTGGGTGCTTTCAGGAAAGGCAGGCAGGAGGGGGCTCTGTCTCCAGGCTCTCAACAACTGCAGCAATGCTCTTTGGCATGGGAAAGCCAATCGTGCACTTAGTGATGCATAATTTATTTCCTGGAAGTGGTTTGTCTCCCATAGGGCACCCAGGAGGGAAAGGCAGGTAGGAGAGCCCCAGGCATTCTGTTCTCGTTGGGCAGCTATGGCTGGCAAAGAGTGACATTAGAGTTTCTTGGGGAAAGGCAGGGAATGTAGGGGAGGCCCCCAGGCCCTGCTCCCACAGTTGTCCATGGACCCAGCTGACACCCTTCCTCAGTGGGCACCTCTCAGGTGCCCCCAGGAGAAACTCTGCATCCAGGGCAGAGGAGGCCAGCATCACTGCTGTTCCTGAGCTCCCTGCAGGGGAGGGACTGATGCTGAGACAGATGTGCCCAGAGGTGGGCGTGAGAACCATACCCGCTAGGGAGGCCCTCCTGATAGGCACCCTCCGCTCTGACCCCCTCCACCCTCACCCTCTGCTTTTCTCTTGAAGGACACTCTGGGTGGTGGGTTTGATGCCACCCAAGCGTTTGTGGGCGAGCTGGCCCATTTCAACATCTGGGACCGCAAGCTGACCCCAGGGGAGGTGTACAACCTGGCCACCTGCAGCACCAAGGCCCTTTCCGGCAACGTCATCGCCTGGGCTGAGTCCCACATCGAGATCTATGGCGGAGCCACCAAGTGGACATTCGAAGCCTGTCGCCAGATCAACTGAGGCCTGGGGCTGGGCTGAGCCTCCTGGTCCCCGGGTCCCCAGCCCCTGCCCGCCTGCCCCTGCTTGTGCGGTGATGATCCGTCGTCTCTTCTTCTCTCCCTTTCCCCCAGGAATGACTCAAGGCCATCGTCCTCGCACATGCGCACACGCACACATCCTGGTTTCGTCCTCGTGCACGTGAAGCAGGCCCGGCTCCCATCTGTCGCAGGTGTCCCCACTTCTCTCTAGGAGCCCGCGCTGCTTCTCAGGCATGCCCCGTTCACCACCAACACTGGCGGCTGAGACATTTTGAAAAATGCACACGTAGGTGAGAGGACCTGTGTGTGAGTGTGACTGTGTGTGTGTGTCTACAAGGATCTGTCTCTCGGGGGAGGCCTTCTCTTTTAAAATGAGGTATTCCTTTCCTTCTTTCTCTGTGGCTTTGGGACGTCCCATGACTGGTCTAATCTCTGTACTTGCCAACTTTGGTGGCTGCCCGTGTGCCTTGGGGCTGGTACAACTTCTCCTGCCAGGCATTCATCTTTGTTTGCAAACCTTTTTCAGAGCGACATATCTCTATACTGATAGAATAAATATCTTTTAGCACTTTGTTAAAGGCTAGGGACCTCTCCAAGGAGAATTTGTATTTTGTCATAGAAGTAAATTCTCTCTGAAGGGTTGAAGGCAGACCGTGTCCTGCGATGGCACCACATGCTGGGAGCGGGCAGAGGAGGTGGCACCAGCCTCAGGAGCCAGGCATCCTGCTGTTGACCTCTGAGGACAGCACTGGGCCTGGGAGGCTGGCCTGCACACCCAGCGTGGCCAACACTGGCCCAGGATCCCATCTGTGGCCCTCAGCCTTCCCACCTCCTCAAGCTCCCCTCCAGCGGCCAGCTGGTGACCCCAAGAGAGGAGCATCCCACCCATTGCCCAGGAAGCCAGGACCTCTGAACCCTTCCCCTTGGCCTCTGGCAGCGGACGACCTGAGGCTTCAGTGGGTCAGCTGGAGAACAGACCTTTTAGACCAGGAAAGCCACACTCTGATTGAGACCCAGCCACATAAGGCCATAGCCAGTCAATGGGCCAGGTCCGTGGTAACTCTGACAGCCATATTCTTTACCCAGGCTGAGGCAAGCCCAGAGACCTCTCCATGGAGAGCTAGGCATGGCCAGGCCGAGGCCTGAAACCCACTCCCCATCTTATAGAGCTCAAGTTCTGATGCAGCCCCCAACCCGTCACCAACTGGTGACATTGACACCCAATCAGTGTCCAGAAGCTTTGACACTTTTTCTCCCCATGAAAAACTAACGTGTGCGTCTCCTTCTAGTCCTTCCAAGGTGGGGAGAAAAGTGTGTGTGTGTGTGTGTGTGTGTGTGTGTGCGTGTGTGTTGAATGAGAGAGAGAAGAAGAGCGCTTAGACAGATCACGCCCAGGGGAGGGTGAGCTCCCTGCTTTGTTGCACCATCTGGGGGTCGCACACCCAAGGGCCACCTGGACTCTATCACCAAGAGTCTAATTAGCAAAAGGCTGGCAAGTCTTTCTAGAAATTCTACTGCACTGCCTGGCTCATCTACAGCTGCAGACATTTCTTCAGCAGGAGCAGGTGTTCTGTCTTCTGTTTTTTCCAGAGGCACCTGTCTCCTTAAACGCAGGTCCGTGTTGTGTCGGAAATCTAGTGCATCTGTGTGTGTCTGTGTTGGTGTTTCTGTGTCGGTGTCTGCGTGGGTGTCTGCACGGTACCCAGTCACCGTTCTGCAATGCATCACTCTCATGCCGAGGGTGCAGTCCAGGCGCCGGGCTGTGTGTTGTGGTTCAACAGTGGCTTTTTCCTGAGACCATTGTGCTTTGTCAGAGCTCGTCCAGCTGTGGCATCTGTGGATCTGCAGGGGTCTTCTCTGTTTGCATGTTCCTTGGGGCGGTGTGTCCCTTGCTTCCTCATTCTGGTGTGTGTCCCCTGCATGCATGAACTTCTCTGGTTCTGTGTTGTGTGCCCAATGCCACCCCTTGTTCTGTGACCATCCATGTAGCTACTGAAAATGGCTGGGTAAGCAAGGCAAGGGTGTCGGAGGAGGTCACGGGAGAGACGGAGTTCCTCTCCCCCTCCCCACTCCCCAAACACACCAAGAAGTATTTTTAACGTGTAGGTTGAGAACAAGCCTAACATCGCCCGTGGTTGGGAGAGAGCGAGAGCTTGGAATCCCCTTCTAGACCAGATCAGCCCCACCCCTCACTTCAGCCATCTTGGAGCTGTAGGCAAGGCCCAGAGTGTGCTAGGTGCTCTCATTCGGCACCTCCCACCAGCCCCTGCCAATCTAGCGATCTACCGGACCCCAGACCACCTTCTGCCCCAGTGGGCGCGGTGGGAGCTGTCCGTTCAGGACCACAAGCCATCCTCTGCCCTAACTAAAGGTGGGCAGAGCACACCTGTGTCCCTTTGGCCTCCCCTCCCGGACCTGTTCACCCTCCTCACCCCTCCCCTGATGCACCCACGGTGCCAGGGACAGAAGCTGATGTTTAACTCCCTCCCCCGCCCCAACTGGAGCCTGTGCCAAGCCCCTGGCTCCCTCACTGTGTTAACACTTGGCACTTCGCCAGCCCCGAGAAAGGTAGATGACACAGCCACAAATCTAATCCACATAGTTTCCATCTACTCCTTAATCTGATTGATGTTCCCTCTTGCACTGAATAATACATGCCTATCTCAGGTAAGCCATTTTATAAAATAAGGAGATAAAAAAGCACTGTCGAGACAGTGTTTGCTTTTGCCGAGCTGGTGTCCCACAGCTCCCTGGGTGTCCGAGGCGGCAGAGCTACTGACAGAGGCTCTCCGGGCCCTCGGGGGCTTAGAGCCCACTTGAATCGTAAGCCTTCTTGCTTTTGATAACACAGTATTATTTCTCTTACTCTAGAAGAAAAAGTTTATTACCAAACAAGAGTATTTTTATGAAAGAAAAGGACAAACCTATAAATTAACTCAACCTATATTTCCCTTGAAAATACTTTTCAGGCTCCGCCAAAATGTAGAACTGAAAGCATGTATTTTGGAAGAAAGAGATACATTTTGTATGCTTTCTGTTCCTTTTGTAGATTCACAGTTTATTTTCTAAGACTGCAAAGATCACTTTGTCACCAGCCCTGGGACCTGAGACCAAGGGGGTGTATTGTGGGAGTGAAGGGGAAGGGAGAGGCTGGCATGAGGGTCACAGTTGTTCCAATGAGCTCCAGAGAGGGGCCACCTGTTCTCAAAGACATGTTGGGGACTGGATGTACTCTGGTCCTTGATGGTGGTCCCTCTGTCTCAGAGCTGACTTGTCAAGTGGAATGAGTAGAGGACTTGATGGTCAGTTCCAACCCTGATAGAAGAAACTAGGGTTCTGAATTGTGAACATTAAGAAGATGGTATCCTTTGTAATCTTACGGCAACCAAAACGTGGCTTAAAGCAGTCATGATTTCATCTCTTAAAACACAGTGTGTAAATTTATTCAACTAATGATGGGAAATGTATCACTTCCATGTACAGTGGACTTAAGTGCCATTTGTTGAAAGGGAACAAGTCATTGAGGAGAACAAAAAAGCCCAATACTTAGAGTCCCAATTTTGTCTTATTTGCCAAAAAAAAAAAAAAAAAAATCAACAATGACAAAGCAACCCCCTTCTGGTTGATATTGTTACATTGTATATACTGTATAATAGGAAAGAGAATTGATGTATCTTACTTTTTCATTATTTGCTAACCAAAGCTGTACATTTTTCATATGATCCGCAGCCTTTTGGGTATCTAATGGGTCAAAACCATGGGACCTGCCACCTCCCATCAGCAGTTCTGGAAATGCACTATTTCTACTGGTATTCTTGCTTTTTTTTCATTTTATTGCTGAAATGACATGAATTGTTGAGTTTATTTTTACACAGTAAAGAGTGAAGAAAGACTGTGGTCTCCTTGGAATATCTCTTCTTTCCTCAAGCTTGCAAATGTCACCTCAACCTACTGGGCGACCTCAGAGGCCCTCCCAGGATATGCCTGCCTGCCCATTGTCCTGTGCCCCTCAAAAATCCCGCAGCCACCTGGTGATAGTGGACATCAGGGGAGGGGAGGGGGCCAGCCCAATTCACAGGTGCAGCCGACACCAAGGCAGAGAGCGGTGAAGTGATTCTGCATTGTGTAGAGACCACATTGGGGCTTGGATTGCAGAGTATCTGCCCGTTCCTCACCTCATCTGCAGCCCTGCTCCCTCCTGAGCTGATGCACTGCCCATTGCACACCTGGCTACAGGTCCCAGGTGGCCTGGGCTTGTCCTTCCAAGCAGCCCAGCTCTCCTTTGCCACATCCCTGCTGACCCATCCTTAGGGTTCCCGGGCTGTTTCCTTGCACTCAAGCAAGACAGCACCCCCAGGTTCACATAACAAGAAGATGGGTGATGTGGGAACCCTGGGCACTGAAAAGAACTCAGTTCCCTGGCCCCTCATGGACCAAGCTAGCCACTGGATGGACATGGAGCTGTGGAGCTGTTCCCTTCTGTGGGATAAAAGCAATGAGCAGGAGTCAAAATAGCCTGCCTGGTTGATTGGTCTCCCCCATGCCCCAACACACATGCCTGTGCGTGCACACACACTCCACACACACACACACACACACACACACACACACACATGCTGAGTTAACAGATGGGGCCTGGCCAGGACTCAGGATCTGGAGTTTGGTGGGGTGTAAGTGAGCCGCCCATTGCCTGGAGTAGTATGGACAGAGGGGGTTTGGCCTCAGAGCAGTTGACCACTCACCCTGTTGACCCTGCAGTAGGAACCCCAGTTGGGAGAGAGAAACCCCTGCCAGGCTGAAGACCCTGGGCCTGTTAGTTGCCCTTGGTGGGCAATGTCCACCTGAAGGCTGCACACATGTGGCCGAGCCCAGGGTTGTACTCAGTTCCAGCAGCTCCAGCCGACATACCACCTCTTTGCCTCCCAGTCCCGCAAGTGCATAGTTATGTCTGTAATAACATCACTCTTACATTTCTAATTTCTATGAAAGTGCTCATTCAAAACTTCAGTATTTTTACTATCATCAGAAACAAATTACTTTCCCCACTTCTCACACCTGATCTTGGCACATCAAGGACTGAATTTAGGGGCTGTGGAGCAGAGAACAGCAGCTTTACAGGGAGACAGCAAGTGGGAGCCTGGAGCAGAGGGACACAGGCTTGGGATTTCAAAGCTGGAGAGTGTCTCCAAAGCCATTGATGCCAACAACCCATCAGATGCATGAAAATGTTCTCAGCTTACACACTTCCAATGATAGGGAACTCGCTATCCATACAGGCAGTCTGGCCCACTTTCAAACAGCTCCAGCTGGGAGTTTTTCTTTTTTCTTTTCTATCTTTCATATTTCTTTTCTGTTGTGCCCAGTTCCTTATATTGAGCTGCAGCTTCTATCCATCTGTTTGCACACATGGAGACAGCCCCCATGTTTCCTAGGGCTCAACCTTTATGTCTCTCCTGCACCACCTGGCTGACCTGCTCTAGGGGCACACTCCTCCCACCCCAGAAGCCCCCCAAGGGCAGCAGAGTATAGACCAATCCCTAGAGTGTCCTTGCTCTAGGAATCTGGGGCTTGTGCATCAGCTGTGGGCCCCCCAGGGTAGGAGCAGCACAATTTAAGGAGTTCCAGCCTCCTCTATCTCCTTGTCTGCTCTCTGCAAGGTTCCCAGCAAATGGGCCTGTGCCCAGGAGCCCCCTCTCTGCATACCTCCAAGGAGTACAAAGCCACCCGGCTCTGTGGAGTTAACTGCTCGCTGGAAACAGGAAATAGAGAAGAAAAGCGGTGGCTGTGGGGAAGTTAGAAAGGTTCTGGAACTCTTTGGAAGGCCTGTGGTTCTGAGCCCAGGAGTTGGCTTCTTTGTAGAAAGCAGATGCCCTGTAAAAGAGACTGGAATGCTCAGCCCAGGCAACAAGGGTCCCTCTAGGGGCTGGAGTCAGCCGGAACTGCTGCCTTGACCTTAGCAGAACTGCCTCCCTCCCACTCCAAACCATCACTAGGAGATTCTCTCCCATTCACAGCTGGTGGTGCTCGCCTGGCCTCAGGCTCATTAGCTGGCTTTGCCAAGGGCCCAGGCCCTCAGGAGTCTCTGTGCTCCACCTCTGGAGGTGCCCTGGCAGTGCCGCCAGCCTCCAGGGGCCATTGGCATCCGC